ACTCCCAGAAGCCTTCACCACCAGCTGTCCTGACTGGGGTTTCTGGGAGTTGCAGTTCAAAAGCATCAGAGTAACAAAGGTTAAGAACCACTGGTGTAGCTGATGAAAACAGAGTGAGGACATAATGACCACAGGGACTTGCGGCCTTAAAGGACTATGCTTTGGCCTACCCCAGCAAGATGACCGAAGCATAATATACCAGATGTTGTTAGGCTACATCTCCCACCACTCCTCACAATTAACTATTTTGGTTGGGGCTGATGGGACTTGTAGTCTAACCATCAAGAGAACTGCTGCCCTTTCCCCATCTTTGGATCAGAAGGTACTTTGAACAGCAACTCTCAGGAAACCTTATTCTATCCCGAGACTCATATGAGTTGTGGTTGAAAACAGATAGGTGTGCGCTGATGCATGCTATCTAAAACTGGGGTCATGAAGAGTTGGACACGACTTAACGACTAAACAACACTCTAAAACTGTGTCTATATAAAATATCTGGATTACTCATTTCTTCTGAAAAACTATTGGCAGGGAATGGAATATGCTTAAGTGAGGCAGACTCTTTGTTAAGCATAATGAGCCTGAGCGGCACTAGAAGTTGGCTGCCTGCCATTCTTCCAACTGGCCGTAGAACAGTCCAGCATCTCCACATTCTGCAGTGTTAAGCGAAAGTTACCCACAGAAGGGCGGTGGAGGTGCAACCTTCTTACCAGCTTCTTATTCCCACCATACTCAGTGACACAGTTGCCCTTCAATTTCAGTATTCTCAGTAGATGAGAGGGAAAGGGATTTTCATAGGGGCAACATATTGTTGCAAGCTGTATTCATGTTGTGTGATGCAAAGTATTTGTGAATATGATTGTTGTAGGTTTTTCGGGCTGTTTGGCAGTGTTCCCGAAAAACCTACAACAACCATTGGATCCCCACTGTGAAAGCCTTCAAGAATACATATTTGAGAATAGTTTGAATGGGCAATGAAGAGCCAATGATTTATAAAAGTTATGCTCGTCATTTCTTGATATCGGCCAATCCAGCTTCCTGCACTTTGGACTCTCCTCTTAGATGTGTGATGCTGGTGACTACCATGATAATCACCTACACCCCAAATCTACAACACAGGGTATACTGTCTCTTGACATGGACGTTCTACTGTTAGATATTTTCCTTTTACCATCCAGACTGGAACGTAATCCTTCTAGCAGACTGGTTAAAATATAGTCCCAGTAAGGATGAATGGGGGAATGTTCTACTACCTCCACGTTTCTACTACCTGTCTTGTTGTATTGTCATTAAGTCGTGTCCGACTCTTTGTGACCCCATGGACCAGAGCACGCCAGGCTCTCCTGTCTTCCACTGCCTCCCAGAGTTGAGTCAAATTCATGTTGATAGCTTCGATGACACTGTCCAACCATCTCGCCCTC